CTTCCAATTAGTGGTCGACCCCGTATTTACTACATATGTAAAATATACACACGTTGTACATTTACATGGATATTACATTAATTTCAACGTTCATACAGTTTACATGTAAAATATTGTCTTTTGGTGGATGGTTTGTCCTGACTGTTTTAACCTCCGACCTCCTAAAGGTGGAGGAGGAATGTAAAACTGTAACATGTGACCTCCCAGATGTTCACACACGATTTAGCATTTAGCGTCACGTTCCCGCAGCTGTTTCTCCCTCCTGTCCGTTGGGAACAAGACGTTACTACAGCGGTGGCGTTGACGTCTGTGTGTGTGTGTGTGTCTGTGTGTGTGTGTGTGTGTGTGTGTGTGTGTGTGTGTGTGTGTGTGTGTGTGTGTTGACGCTCTCCATAAACATGTGAGGAACGTTTCCAGTACGGTGGGTCACCACGCCCCGCCGTACAGATGGCCGTATTAATGATTGTCATTAGCAGAATCATTACGACTTCACACTTTAAAATCTCACAGTGGGTCTGCGAGAGAGCAGATCATCTCATTCCCCCTAATTGAGACCCTGTGGATTTACTTTAATTGCTGAAATGGAACTCACATCTCCACAATACACAGATTCCTTATATTCTTCTGGGGATGGAAATTCAACTATTTCAAATGAGTTCTGCTGTTCGGAGCTGGCAACACTGAGTCGCCTGGTGTTGTTTTAATAAGAGATGATGAGTTGGATTCAGTTTCAGACTCTTTTGTTTTTCACGTATGTGACTGTGTCGTAACTCGACTGTGGCACTTACACAAAACCTGGAAAATCTCATGTTAAAGTAGTGTGTGCACTAACCGGCAGTGCAAGGGGCTTTTGGTTAAAAGCATCTTTTCTCCGAATGCACAAACTTTGTTGTACCTGAACGTCGCTCCTCTGAATAATTCACAGCCATTAAATTTGTGTCAAACGTCCTCTTCAGTCTGTGTCTGGGTTGAACTCTGCAGCGGCAAATAAATATTGAAACAAAGCTTTTGAAGTCGCACCCTAAATTGAATTATCCTGTCGGGGGAAAGTGACTCATTCAAGTGCCACACACACACACACACACACACACACACTACACATCCATTATTTCTAATTCTCTCTCACAGCCACATTCATACACAAACACACACACACATAAAGGCCACAGGCTAAGCGGTGTGACTGGCCTAACAGATGTGAGTCATTTGTCAGACTATTGACCCAATCCACTGGATAAACTAAATGCCAATACCAGCCGGATAGAGCAACGCTAATCCCCGTGTGTTCACTGTGCGTGTGTGTGTGTGTGTGTGTGTGTGTGTTTCCCTCCTCTGTCTCTTCCTGTCTCTGCAGGGCTCTCAGCTTCTGTCACAGTCTCGCTGGAGGGAGAAAACCGTGTGTTTCACCACAAGTTGAGCCAAACGAATCCAAAAGTTTGGTGAAAGAGTGAAACTGTGTCGTAAAAAAAAACAGGTTTTAATTCCAGACGTGAGAATCATATTTATAAAAAGCACTTTATGTAATAAAAAAAAAAAAAGAATCAGATCTTTGAGGGATTACCGGCTTGTCCACATCTGTATTCTGTTTCGTTTTTTTTTCTAACCAGGATTAAACTTAATCTGGAAGATGTGGCATAAATGTAGAACATTTTCATCAATATCAGATCTTCTCATGAATTATAATTTCAGTCTTTAAGCTGGAAAGCCTTTGATTCACTGTCTGCCGTCAGGTAATAGATCTCTGATGAGGAGACACTGTAAATAGAAAATACATCTATTCATGAATCACCTCTCGTTTACAGAGATCTTCATGTATTTCTTCTTTCCTCTCTCAGCTGTTGTCATGGCGTCAGATACAGTTCCTGATTGGTTCCTTTTAGAGTCGGATGCTGATGAGATCGTTTGTTTTTACTAAAGCATTTTGAAGTTGAAGCAGTTTAAATGTACCAGCTGTCTTTATTAAAGTAAACAAAACAACGTAAACTACATCGCTTCACCTCTTGAACTCTGTTTGCCTCCTTGTCTTGAATCGTGGGAGAAACTCAACAACATTAGTCTAAACGTAGACGTCTGTGGGACATTATATCAGCTGATTTAAGCGAACTGTAGATTAATGGCTGATAAATAACAAGAAATTAAAGTAAAGGAAAACCAAACTTTTAGTGAATTTGTGCAACTTTATTTTTCAACTGCATAAAATCTTGTCCTTGAACATAACTTGGTCAGAACTCTTCAATAACTAAATGTGAAGGATCCTCATCAAAAAATAAATGAATATTTGCCAATATATTATCTGATTTATGTACTTTTTTTTTTTTTTTTAAACCCTGCAGACTTCGCAATTGGCATCAGCCTTAAAAATCCTGTATCAGCCAGATGTAGTTAGCATCAGCATTAAATTAATCCAGCTGTGATGCGACTCCGGGGGGGGAGAGGACAGTCGACAGTCACAAACACCAACACATGACCACGGGCTGCGTCCGTGCCATTGGCTGTTAATAGGAGTTAAAACAACAAACAGGAGTCAGGTGGTTTGTGCTGGAGGCGTGGCCTAGGGCGGTTGTGACATCATAAAGTTCCAGAAGTCACAATGGCTCGTTTTGAGGCACAGCTTCTGAATAACAGCTGCACGTGTTTCTCCATGGATTAAACACTTTAATACTTCCACAGTTTGAACACAGAACTTTCCACCTGTTTTATAATAATTAAAAAACAAACATGGAAATCTCACTTTCTACAATATGGGACCTCTGAGTGTGAGTCGGTGTCTGCGGTGCTGTTTGTCAGTGCGTCGTGGCGCCTGTCACTGCTCCTCATGTTTTTATGTTTCTGTCTGTTTAGGAATTAGAGCAGCATTAAAGCTTTCACAAAGCTGCTGTTTACGAATCAGTTTTATCTTCTGTCACTCGAGAAACATCAACAGTCGTTGCCCATCAGCATTTTAACAGCATTTTACACGCTTCTTTTACTCTTTTTTATATGAGCGCACTAAAATATTATTGATGCTGGAACACGCTCGTTCTGCAACCGCAAAACAGTTTTACTACCTTTTACTTAGAAAGTAAACTAATGCAAAGTATTAGAGCAGCAGTTGCAGGAACAGCTGAGCTCTGTAGATATACAGTGACAGACGGAGAGTGAGTGTCATGAGGCCTTGAGGAGCGTGACCGCGTCCGGCTCATAAAGTTGGCTTTGTCTCCGAGGTTGATTGACCGCACAGCGAATGAGAAAGTAACTACTGGAATTAAAACGCCGTGACCTCAAGATGTGCGGTCTTCAAACACAAAGAGACTTTATCGAAACAGCCGGTTAGAGAGACAAAGACGGAGCAGATCGAGAGTTAAGATCTGGTCCCGTCTCACTTCGTGCTCTACATTCAGAGCAGACTGCAGCCGCGGCCCGAGCTCACCTCTCCACACACTCACAGAGAAGTGCTGCTTTGTCTTTGAGTTTTACCTCTGACTTCCTGCTAAACAGTTTCAGTGTACAACAGTATGTTCTGATGGTTACATCCTTACGATGTGTTTGATGGAACTGGAGATTTACACCTTGAAAACATTGTTTTTGAAGTGGAATATCCAGGTTAGAAAACTGGGAAGAATTCGTCTTGAAATCTTAAACACTGTTCAGAAACTTATAAAGCTGCTGTAAACACACGCAGATATACACACTCAACACAAGCAACGCAGCTGTGAGCCTTTAGCTGCAGTTAGCAAGAGGCTAAACCGTTAGCAACATTCAACGTAGCCTCTCATCGGCTGCTTTCATGGTAAATCTGCAAAACAAAACCAGCCACTACAACACGTTTAGATAATACAGGAAGAAGTTAGAAGCCTTGCCTCCGATAGGAACGCTCTCTCTCTCTCTCTCTCTCTCTCTCTCTCTCTCTCTCTCTCTACAAAACACCTGTGATTGGCCGAAGTCTCTCGTCCCGAGCTAACAGAACCTGGAGGAGGAGCAGACGTCTAGTTTCCCTCTCAGACTTCTTGAATTACAATTTGCTGAAAGATAATTATAGAGTTTTTGTTTCATTGACGCCAAAAAAACTTCCCGCCGACCTCAGCTTTAAAACTAAATCAATGTTAAACTGCATTATTGCATTTTATGCACAATATTAACTCTGTCGAACGCCCCCGTCCATCACAGAGAGACTCTGACCTCTGACCTTTATCCTCAGCCTTGTCGAGCACATTGTGTTCAATGAAGCCTTTGCACTACCCTGCAAAAAATTCACTTGTGACATATGTACATTTAACTTTTTGCATATTTTTATCCTTCACATTTCATGTTTCTAATCTTTATTTTTCACACCCGTCAGAGCATTATCTGAACACCACACTGACTTTCACCAGAATCAGAATCAGAAACAGAATTAGGTTTTCAACATACAAGGAATTTGCTTTGGTGTTTTGGTGCATGACAATAAACATAGTACGAAGAGAAGAAGTATAAACAAAGATAAAACAAACACTGTAGGTCAGATATCTTGAATATAAAGAGAAAAGATTAACAATAAAATAAAGTATTTACAATAAAAATGTGAAGAAATATTATAGAAAAATATAAATAGAAACAATTTACATACACTTATGAAACCTTTGGACACGTGGACTTGATTGTTTTAGTGATTTAACAGTTCAAAATCCGTCATGGATGAATTCCCTTGTGATGTTTACCTGCTGTGTTGTGATGAACTACATTCTGCTTCTCGTTACAACTTGTTTTAGTGTTTTCTTCCATGTGCTACACATTATTTAACACGACCAATATCAAAAATCCAACAGGCTTTGAACGTAGCATCTCGGTGTTAGGCAGCTGTGAGTAAAGAGTGTGTAGAAATACACAGGAAGAGAAACGGCGAGGGATGAGAGCAGCGTCTCGGCTGCTTCGTGTGACGTTTCAATATTTCATATTTTGGTCCTGCACGCAGTGACACACAGTGAGTGCAGCAGCGAAGTGAAGACGCTCAGAGCTCTGTTGTTTTCTGCTCTGGTGCAGTCATGAGGAATATTAACATCAACACCGCCTGGTACAGCACGGGGCGTGGATCGGGTCAGGCTCTGGTGCTGACGTCACGCTGCTGTCACGGGACGGGCAGTGACGGAGGAAGGGATGAAAGCAGATGAGGGCACAGCTTTGGGATTCATGTGGAACTGTACTTTAAATCAAATTTCTGTTGAATCTTTTTGAAGAATTAAAAACAAATAGAATATTGCTGGATTAATGAAAGATGAAAGATGTCGCCGCCTGACGTCAGTCTCTCATGTTGCCACTGTTTCTGTTTGTCACTGTTTTCTACAGATTTCAGTAAAAACAGCTGCGATTTATTGCTTGCAATAATTCACCTTCCTCTTCCTCTCCCTCTTTTCTTTTCCTCCGCAGTGATCTGCAGCTTCCGGGGCTCAGTGACTCAGGGTTTGGCTCTGGAGGTGGGAGAGACGGTTCAGATTCTGGAGAAATGTGAAGGTAAGATCCTGAGGAGCTGCTACTCCAATAACGTCCCTGATCACTGTTCGAACAGGACTGAGCTTCACTGAAGCGCCAGTGAAACCTCCTCAAGGGTTAGAGATGACCGATGCATCGTAAAGGAGTTTGGACCCTGTGGTTAAATCAGTCGGAAAACATCGATTTTACAGTTGTAGTTCGTTCAGTTTTCATCAGTTTTAAACTGTGTCATGCAACAAAAATGCAACTTTTTGAAGTGGAATATCCAGGTTGGAAAACTGGGATGAATTCGTCTTGAAATCTTAAACACTGTTCAGAAACATATAAAGCTGCTGAAACACACACAGATATACACACTCAACACAAGCAACGCAGCTGTGAGCCTTTAGCTGCAGTTAGCAAGAGGCTAAACCGTTAGCAACATTCAACGTAGCCTCTCATCGGCTGCTTTCATGGTAAAATCTGCAAAACAAAACCAGCCACTACAACACGTTTAGATAATACAGGAAGAAGTTAGCAACCTTGCCTCTCGTCTCTCTCTCTCTCTTCTCTCTCTCTCTCTCGCTCTCTCTCTCTCTCTCTCTCTCTCTCTTCTCTACAAAACACCTGTTGAATGGCCAAGTCTCTCGCCCGAGCTAACAGAACCTGGAGGAGGAGCAGACGTCTAGTTTCCCTCTCAGACTTCTTTGAATGTACAATTTGCTGAAAGATAATTATAGAGTTTTGTGTTTCATTGACGCCAAAAAAATCTTCCCGCCGCCTCACTCAGCTTTAAAACTAAATCAATGTTAAACTGCATTATTGCATTATTATGCACAATATTAACTCTGTCGAACGCCCCCGTCCATCACAGGGAGGACTCTGACCTCTGACCTTTATCCTCAGCCTGTCGAGCACCATTGTGTTCAATTGAAGCCTTTGCACACCCTGCAAAAAAATTCACTTGTGACATATGTACATTTAAACTTTTTGCATATTTTTATCCTTCACATTTCATGTTTCTAATCTTTATTACAAATAAGAAAAGAAGGAAGAAAGATGTTAAAATTATGTCTTCCTGTCCGTGTAGAAATAACCAGGTGACCAGAGTTCGAAACCTGTTGACTGTCGGACCAAAGAACCGTTCAGAAATCTGCTCCTGACGACCTGTGATCAGATCTTCAGAGGATTATAGTGTGAATGTGACTAACGTTAATTAATGTCAGAGAGCAGCTCTTGTGGTTCTGATGTGGCCACTCACTGATCGTCCATGGTTCATTTAAACCTCTTCACTGCTGAGAAGGTCATTTCAAACGAGCACGATCATTTTCCCATCAGGCTTTTGTGTTCACAGGAGCAAGAATGAAGCTTTGTTGTTTAATTTTATTTTGTAGGAGTCACAGTTCTTACAATAAATGTATATACATAAGATACCTGCTCCTCTGCTGCTCTCTTTATCATACAGACTAAAGGACTGACTAAGGATGAATCCTGTTAGTTTATAATATAGAGAACTTTATTCTGCTTTAAAGCTCCATATTTTCTTCTTCTCCTGTGTTTTATCTGAAGAGTTGATCCATAAGAAGATATATCTGTGGTTCATCTCAGTGCAGTTTTACATCTCCTCTCTCAGGCTTCTCTCTGGCGCTCTAATAACAACAGGTCGATGAGCCAATCAGAAGAGAGGAGGCTCTGAGGCTCCTCCATGTGTAGTGTGATTATAGATCAGCTCTAGCTTCTATATTAATACTGTGAAAGTATCAAAGCCTCAGTCCACAGAGAAATGCACACAGCCTGTATTCAGAAACTGAGCCTTAAAACCAGCCGTCAGGACTTCTGGAACTTTGTGATGTCACAACAAAGCAGTCGCCAAGCCCCGCCCACCTGGACCCACCATCCAAACCTTGCAGGATTTGGTTTCTCTGAGTGTTTTTACCTGAAATCTGCTTTATTTTTATTGGATCACTCAGAAAACAGTCAGCCAATCAGAGGAGAGTAGGTTCTGAGCCTCCTCTCCTCTGATTGGCTCACTGACCTGTTGTTACTAGAGCTCCAGAGAGAAGCCTGAGAGAGGAGATGTAAAACTACACTGAGATGGTTTTTATATCTTCTTATGGATCAACACTTAAAATAAAACACAGAAGAAGAAGAAAATCCTGAGAGTAGTTCCTGAGTAAAGATTTTTGTCCTGCAACAAATCCTGAGCCCCTGTAAATACAACCTCCTGAGTTAGTAAGTGTAGCTGTGTGAAACACATTAAGTAATTTAGAAATATTGGTTATGTGTTTTGCTCGACTCCTCTTTCATCTGAAAAGACAACAGCTTTGTAATTTTCCGCCCTGTGTCTGGCGGCAGCAGCAGCAGCAGATTCGTCTCCTGCTCTTTGCCTCAGTGAATCAGGGAAGAAAAGCTTCCACATTAACGCTGCCGCGGTCGCGTTATCACTAACGCACACAGTAGAAACAAAGTGACACTCATTGCTGCATGGTGCATAGTTCTCTCGAATAATTAGTGCAAATAGCCTGTAATAGCCCGGCGCGGGACTGGACGAGAGCCCAACTTATTAGACAGTGTTGCCCCCATTGTTATCCCTAGTTTGACTGGTGGAAATTAGCAGCTCAAACCAGGATGTGTGGGAAACGTTGTCTTTTGCAGATAATGAGTGAGTACGTGCTCCATTAGCCACAGCTGGGCAGGCCGCTGCCATCGATCCCCTGCCAGGGGCTGATGGGAGATTTCTTTACCTGAGGCGGTAAATGCCAGTGAGAGGGAGGAAGAGAGAGAGAGAGAGAGAGAGAGAGAGAGAGAGAGAGGAGGAAATGGCTTCCTCTTCCTCCTGTGTTGTCATCCCTCTTTGTCTTTCATCCTTCCTCTCCACTTCCCTCTACATCTTCCTCTCCTCTTCTGTCTGGTCTTCCTTCTAATCGCACTCAGATCCAATCAGCATCTAATTGGCTCCTGTTATGAAATGCAGCCCTTACAGCGAGGGACATGGGCGATTATCCGAGCCCTTGTGGTCCAAGCTGGCATCACAGCTTTCCTCTTAGCACACAGTGATTATCTGGGCAAACCACGGCTAGCTTTTGTCCAACAGCCCCCTGGCAACTTCAAGATTTCCCCAGCTCCTGTCATTATCTGAACATGCAAATGCATTTTAGAAAAATACTCTCCAACAATGAGGATATTCATGGGAGAATGTTTGCTAATGTTATTGTTAGATATTTATTTTGAGGCAAAACATGTTTTATGAAATATGTTTCGAACAAAAACCCAGTGGTGCTGACTAAGAAATGTCACCAACGATCAGTTTGTCTGTGGAGTTCTGTCTGCTGGATGAACAGTGTGTGTGTGTGTGTGTGTGTGTGTGTGTGTATGTGTATGTGTCATCGTTGCCAATCCAGCTGCTGCAGAAACACTGCAGAGCTTTTACACTGAGTGTTCGAGCTGCAGGGAAGATCTTTCTTAAAACTGTCCGTCCCCGTCTTCTTCCACTTCCCTCCCTGCTCTGACGCCAAATTATCTTCCCCTGACAGAAGCTCAATGGCTGTAATGTCAGTGATGTGGAGGAATGCAATCCCCACCTTCCAGTCTTATAATATGATATAGATTACAGACATAACACTTGAAAACGCATTAGAGTTCGATTAAGGGGCGTAGCAGCGTTTTAAAGTGTGAGATTTTGACTCTTCGCACTGTCAGCATTACTGAAGCACCTGCAGTCACAGCCGAGGACTGCCTCTTTATTTTTGAGAGGCTTTTCAGCTGTGACACATCTTCCACAGCGAAATGCTGTTAGCGTGGACGACCAGGAGAGAGATGGCTGCTGGTAAATATTAAAATTTTAAAAAGACTGGTCAGTGATTTTAGGACGTAGTAGAAGACAATTGTGAAACAGCCTCCGAGTATCAGCTGGTTTCAGCCTTTAATCTTCTCTCTCTTCTCTGTGCTCACACATACAGTGTTTTAACACAGCTGAATACAAAATGAAGCTGTTCTCATTTACATGTTTTCTGATTCTGTTGTCATGACAACGGAACAAGTTTGAAACAGTGACTGAAACGCGGCTCATTAAGGCTAAATTTTAACTTCCAGGCCGTTTTCCAAGCTGCTGCTAAAATCCTGATTTTTATAACCAAGACGTCGTCTGACAAAATCACCAAACACAAGAGTGAAAAACAAAGACTGAGCTGTGATTTCAGCTCTATTTACTTGTAACATTATCACTCAGTAGGAAAGTTAGAGGAAACAGAATATCTTCCTTATTTAGTCCTAAAAAGTCGCCTGATTTGACGCTACTTGCTTCTTTGAAAGAAAGTCTGAAACAGTCTTAAACAGTCTGAAAAGTCTGTAAATCTGGTGACAAATGTGCTAAGTTGTTAACGCTCCTTGTTCGTGCCAATTTGTTTTGAAAGAGCAGCAGCCAATAGGGAAACTCAGACACTCAGCAGGCCAATGATGTAACTTGATCACTCAGTCACGGACATTTCGTGTTTATAGCGCTGGCCCTGCTGCAGCCAACAACCAGGCTGTGAGGAGATGAAATAGTGACGTGGGTAACACGAGTCATTCGGTCAGTAAACCTCTGGATCATAAAGTAGATATCCTAAAATGTTTTTGGCCATAACTCGAGAATTCATACGTTAATTATGACACAACGATGAAGCGGTGAGATTTTCCATCCAAACGGTCGAAGGTCAACTTCACTGTGGCATCATAATGTTCTCCACAAACAAATCTTCATTGTTCAACATTAAACAACCACGAGGAGGAAATTCTAATCATCGATGTTTGCACAGTGCACTAATTTAACACTGATGATCAATACCTGAGCACCGGCAGTGCTGTGTAAACTGAGGACGCTGTGTTCACAGCGAGTAGCTCGGTGCCTCAGCTGCAGCTCACACCTTCTGTTGAATCGCTGTCATAACTGTAATTGCAATGAAAACGCCCTCTCGGGTGCTGTTACTGCATCAACAAGCAATTTCTTCCTTCATGAAGTAGCTGGAGGTGCGTTCTGCAGGGAGAGGAAGCGTCATTTAAGACTCATATTCAGCTGATTTTAATAGCTTGATGGAAACCTGCATTTATTGTATAACGCTGCATTCATAATGACTTCAGTCTGAACCTGCATTAATTCAACAAAAGTGGCTCCTCCAGTTCTGCCTCCCACTTAAAAATGATTCACACTGATTATTGTTGTGAATTATTTTGATAACGGTGCGAAAATGATTATTCTAATAACCGCTCAGTGAGCCGATTGGATGCAGAGGGAGAGAGCGGCCGTGCGACAACGGACAAATTAGACACATACATGCACCTGCGTTCACACGGAGGCACCACACACACACACACACACACACACACACACACACCTGATCTGTCATCTCCGCTTTCACTGATATATAATAATCATATTCACACTCTCACTGACAAATGAATTGTTTCTTCCAATCTTTCTGTCCTCTTTTGTGTTTTTCTAGTGAACACACTTGGCTACAGAAACACACACACACACACACACACACACACACACACACACGTACCCTCATTTCAACCCTTACAAATAGGCCCAGACACTGCCGGTCCAGCCCCAGTCTGATTATCATATAGATGAGAGGCTGGGGAGTAAACACAGCCATCTTAACGAGGGTGATAAATGAATCTTGATTGGTTATTAATTAACCAGCCAATTAAACACCCATCTCCATATTTATATCAGATTATGGAGAACTACTGAGGAACTGGATCTCATGATCTTGCAAAAAGATAAGATGGAAATAAATATGAAGAATCCCGGCCGATGCAGAGTTAGTTTTTTTCTAAATGTTTAAGAAGTTTAAAAGTTATTATCAGGGAAACGACCTATTTCACAGTCTTTTAGGAAATTTCTCGACTTTTTCTTTTCAGAAATGTCAGACAAAATGTTCATCACAAACTCAAACAAGATGGACATCGTGGAGATTCAGATAACGTCAGAGATTCGTCGGCTCTGATCGAAGTGTGATAAATCGTCTCCGTAGCGGCGAACACTGTGGAGGTCGGAGAGGGTCAGAGCAATAATGTGCATCGTTTTGATATGAACGTCTCTTTTTGCTTCACTCTGTCCGTGACAGAAAGCGTTCGGCCAAGCCTCACGATTCCAGGAACCACAGACACAATCGTTTTTATTTCCACTTGGATGGAGACGGATGACGTCCCCGCGGTCTGAGAGCGCGTCTCGGTGCTTTCCTTTCCTGTACATGTTTAGTCCCTGGATACAAGTCATTTTTCAGCTGTCAAGGTTTTTACTTCGAGTTGAGTCAACTTTCATGACAGCTTTCTACTCCACAGAGGCATCTGATGAATGTCCCTCCATGTGGAAAGAGCTTTTGTGCTCTCTGAGTTACACACTAACACACACACACACACACACACACACACACAGAGACACAAACACTGGATTCCAGCTCTTTGCTTTTAAACTGCGAGGCCTCCCAGCAGGGAAGTCACAGGAGGGACAGACGTGAGAACGACAGGTTCACACAAATCTGACCGCACAGACTAAATCACCTCTTTTATTAGTTTCCCTGTGACTCACTCTTTCTGAGGACGTTGTTGTCTCCGGTGTCCGTCAAGAATAATGGTCCAAAAATCTGCTTTGAAAGCATAAAAAAAAAAAGATTCTCCTTACAACTGCAGAACCTGAGAATCATCACATTTGAAAGTTTCCTCCAGTATCACAGTGATGCAGTGACAGGAGCTGCTAATAACTCATTCTGCAGCTTTTAATGAGGAGAATCCGACAGAACGTGAACAAACAGGTTTAAAAAACAAACAAAACAGGGCTCAAGTTGTAGCCCTCAGCTGTTGGGGGGGGGCAGAAGGTCAGACTGTGAAAACCCTGGAAACCAGAGACTAAAACTTGAAACTGAATTTTAACCTTCAGCCCTTGGAAGATAAATATCGACCAATCAGAAGTCGAGGCTGACGGAGACCTAGTTATCATGATACTGACATTTACAATTATTTTTTTGTTTGCGTTCATGTCTCTAATGATGTCCTCACTCTAAAGTTCTCCTGTACTGGTTCTCACAAAGATGGAACTACAACACACACACACACACACACACACACACACACACACACACACACACACTAGAGTGAATCTGTCTTTAGCTCCCGGCGTCGTGTCTCTGCCTCTGTCTGACTTTGTCACGCACATCTATAAGCTTCTATGGAAGTGTAGACACTCCTCAGGGCACAGAACTAGTCCCACACACACACACACACACACACACACACACACACACACACACACACACGCAACGGAAAACTTCAGTCATGGATCCAACCCAACTATTACTCACTAAATGTCCACATGGCTGATGAATATTGATAATAAACATTGATTGCCTGATTGTTTTTCCTCTCTGATGGCGTCAAATCAAAAGCAAACACATCTGCAGATGAAACTTTATCAAATTACATCTTTATATTCATAACAGATTTACATGAAGTGAGCAGACAGGGTCGTGCAGCACATCGACTTGTGTGATACAGTCCAGCCCAAAGATCACGGTGTGCAAAGACAAGACGAGGGTCGGACTGCAAAGCTGCAAAATATAAAAATCTCTTATGAAAAATACATGGTGCATATGGAGGGAAGTGATAAAACCACACCAGTGTTTTAGTCTAATTAAATCAGGGCTGCCTCACTGTTTTACTTTAGTGTTGCTGAACATTTTCCGCTGCTTGGTGGAATTTCATGGTAGTTGTTGTTTTGTTCTTTGCTCCACTCAGTGATTTGATGCTTTTAAGACGGAGTTTCCTTTTATCTGTGTCAACAAAGATCTCCGGAGCTGAAGTCGCCATGGCGGCTGACTCACAACCGTCTCTAACTCTGAATCTGTGTGTTTTGCTCGCCCGTCTTAGTCACTGAGGTTTGTGTTTTCTTTCAGGATGGTACAGAGGGTTTTCGACGAGGAAGCCGAATGTCAAGGTAAGAGAGACTGACAGCTTCTGCTCCTCCTCTCTCACGCTGCTTCACTAATGACACTTTCCTCCTCTTGCACTTCCTTCTTTTTCTCTCCATGTCTTCGATTCTCTTTTGTCTCGTCTCTGTTGTGGTGAAATGAGTTATTTATGTGGCCAGAGTCTCTGACTGCACGTCTGATGTGAAGGAGACTTTTCCTCTGTTTCCTTCTGCCTTCCACACTTCTGCTTTGCTTTCCTCTCCATCTGTTTGTCTTCACACTTCACACAGCGGGAGACAGACGGTACACATCAAGTCACGCCATGAAGTGAAGATTCCCGCTTCAATTTTGTAAAAAACAGAGTGTAAAATCAACTTTAACTCATCTATGAGTTAAATGACTGTTTGTACAGTCTGATGGTTGAAGAGCATGAAGGAAGGAAAAGTCCAAGCGCTGAGTGAAATGTGATATTTGATAATATTCCTGTGGTTATGTTACAGTCCGTCTGGGAAACACTGACCAGGATATAAACTTGCAGGGTCGGAAAGTCGGTTTGGCTTCGGGCCAGTTTCTTTCTGATCCATTAGATGGCGGGTCAGAACATAATCAAAGGCTAATTTAAGAAATTGATTCATAAAAATGCAGCTGGAATCTGTTTAGTGACTGTTCACATGTGCAGCTGTGGCCCACAGTCACATATTAAACGCTTGACTGATTCTTTTGTCACATCGCACGTCGTATACCACACCGAGGGAGTGACGTTGAACTGAATATCAGCAGCCTGGTGCATGATTCAGCTCGTCACTCCCTCAGTGTGATTTCACTTTCATACACCAGGTCTCCAAACGCCGTGTTAGTGAAATAAGCAACAACAGATTATGATCTGTTTGTTTATTTCATCATCTATTTGGCTACACCAACACAAATAGCTCCACAACTGGACTGGTACTGGACTGTTGCTAAGCAACACATAAACATTGTCCTGCCCTGCACAGTGCACACTAGCTTGCTACTCCGTCTGCACCTGTTACCTGTTACCTCAGGTGTTTCTGAAGTGTCCAGGCTTCTTCCTTCATCCTCTCCTGACGACCGCACATCACTTACTTCAAATGGAGTGATAAATGTTAAAGGTCCCAGTGCTGTTATACTCTATATCAGCATCATGGAGTTCCTCTCGTCCAATCAGATCACTCGGTCGGGAACTAACTGTTGTGTAAATGTCACTATTCCAGAGGTCCGTCAAGAAAGCATCAGAACCTTTGGAACTTCCTGTCAGAACCTTTCAGAATTAAACCTCTCAATAGCTCGAAATAAATAATAGCTGCAAAAAAAAGAAAAAAAATAAGAACTTTCTCACGCTTTTATTTTGCAAAAATCGTTAAAAAGAGACGGTGTTGTTGTGGGAGCTGTGCACAGACTGTGTAACAGAATAATGAGGGTCGATTCTCTGATTCTCCAGTTGGACATTATAACTACACGTGGAGCTGTAACTCTGATATTGTAAGAATAAAAAGATTATCTAAGTAATCTGACGGCCAGATATCATTGTTGAGATACAGTAAACACCTCTGAGACCAGAGAGAGAGAGAGAGAGAGAGAGAGAGAGAGAGAGAGAGTCTGCAGGCGTTAATGAAAACTGATAACATGAAGTTTCTGTCTGATCCTGCAGTTTATTTTTCTTTCACAGCTGCAGCTTTTTAACATGGTTAAAATAAATTAAACAAAAACAGTCATGAATAACAACGTTTCCTGTTATCTTCGTTTAAATGTCATCTCCGCCACGCAGCACATGACGTGTTTTTATTTTTTCATATTTAGGTAAATGAACGAGCAGAGAGAACATTATCTCATGAGCATGATGAAGTAATGTAATGTCGGCATTCAAAAAGAAAAAAGTCTAAAGCAAATTCATTGTTAAATAAAGTAATTGGGTAAAAAATGTCAGAAGCCTTCGACACAGAAAGATTACAGACGAATTTAACAGAGTTATTATTAACTGGCCAACTGGTATCTTAAGATGTAAAACTATCGTTGTAGTTCTTCCACTAATGCATTTTCAGTTGACTGAACTTTACGCCTTTATTGATGCTGGACACTAGACTGATGACAGGAAATGAGGTCAGAGAGACACGGGAGTGACAAAAGTCTGTGACGTGACGTGACGTGAACCAGGAGACACCTTTACTCCCCACAGCTGTTACTCTATCCTCACCATGACGACAGATGTTACACGGCGCGTGATGTCCTGGTGGGTTCAGCCCGCAGGTCTTCAGGTCGCTCTGATTGTAAACATGTTTATTTGCTTTATTTGTTTATTTACCGCAGGAACCGTCAGTAACAACAGTAACACGGTCTGTTGTCTGAGGTTAGATCTCACAGCCTGTGGCGGTTCGTATGTTGTTTACATGCTCTCTGCATCACAGTAACTACGACAACAATGTGACACGACGATCGCTGCAAAGAAACTCTCTCGTCTGTTAGAAACTCGCCCTGTAGCTGCAGTTGATGACATCCCGCTGCTGCTGCATGAAACCCAGAAACCTGGAAACAATTCTGTCAAGAATGAAGGGAAGAAAAATAATTTCTGAATCTCTGAACTGAAAAAAAAACTGAACAGGAGAATTCTTTGATATAATGTTTGTCAAACCGTCTCAATGCAGAACTCTGTTCGGTCTTAATGATGAAAACACGAACTTCCACGTTTCTGATCCAACATCAGCTACAGGAATGAGTCAGTTGCAAAGTATTGCAGCATCTTACTGGAACAAACACGTATTCAAAACCATGACATCGCGACATAATGTACAGTATAAGGTCCGAGGTTATTATCGTTCACTCAAACAAACAAAATAACAACAACTAGACGACTGTGTTTACAGAACTACTAAACCAACTAAAGTCACAGAGAAAATGTTTTTAGTTTGTGTCTCTAGTATAAAGCCTTTATAGTATTAAAGTATTTTGGGTGGATATGAAACCCTATCTTCACATGTCGACTTTAAGTGTCCAAAACATTCACTGTGTTAATGATGTCAAGTATTTTATTGTGAATTAACAGCAATCATGTGTCACAGAGCTGCAGCAACCTGACAAACACCTCATATCACAAAGATCTCAAACTCACACTGAAACTAATAAAAAACTAAACTAAATGAACAAACCTGCTTTAAAACTAATTGAAATTCAAACTGAAATTAAAAATAAAACAAAATAAAGTATTATAACCCTGATACAGTACATACTGCTATTTCTGTCACATGTGATGTTTATAACTCAGTGCATCACTGAATGTCTTCCAGGAGAGACTGTTTGAAAGTGTGTGGCTTTAAACAATTATCCCGTCCCTCTCGGTGACGGCCAGATGTTCACCCTGTAACAGCTGTAAACACTTTCACCTTCTGATGAACATGTTGCACAAACCACCAGTCGCTTGTTATGTTCCCCCTCATAGAAACTAACGATAAAATATTCTGATTAAATGTATAAAATATAATAAATATAATGAAGTTTCATATTCAGATCTGCAGCTTTGACACATTTCACCGTGTTAATGCTTTTACCCAGACGGACTCACCGCTCTGTCTGTGGGTGTTTCACAGATAATCTCACAGGGAAATGAACCTCCAGCCTTTTCCAGGTTTATAAATTTTAATGTCCATCGGTTGTAGATTATTATCATATATATATATATATATATATACAGCAGCACCTACAGCGTGCGCCCTATTTAACAAAGTGGAAGTTCATCTTGTGAAAAGTCTTGATAACAAGCGACTGGAACATGGAATATAGGAGGAGGTGTCGATTTCATGCGGTTTATAAAGTTGCATTTGTGAGATTAGAGAACGTGACGTTTGAGTCCGGTGTGTGTGTGTGTGTGTGTGTGTGTGTGTGTGTGTGTGCTGGAAGAAATCCAGTCCGATTATGTTTGAGAAAGTCGATGTGATTTACAGACGCAGACTTTAAGCACTGCAGTGGATGAGTATTATGTCTGATGAATGCGGTGCATCAGTGTCTGAACAGATTTTATTGAAGCAGACTCTCTGACCCCGTGCTGGTTATGACTCATGCTAACAGCTTTATATCCATCTCTTCTTTTAAGCGCCACGCCTGGATCAGGAGCTAACAGGCTTCTGGGTTTTTAGTCTTTTAAAAAAAAAAAAAAAAGCTCTTTTGTGTTTGGTCCTGCTCTGTCTCATTCTCCATATGCACCAGCCTTCTGTTTTATTCTGCTGCGCTCCATCCTGCTCCATCCTGCTGCATATAAGAGGCTTTGCTGTCGAGCTTTACTATATCTAGACAGCGGCGTTTCCTGGAGCTGTTGTCTCGGTGTCCGGCCGGGTGTTCTGTGTTCTAGATAGCAGAGGCATTAACACCGGAGAGATCATCTGCCGGGGGCTTTGTATTTTGTATTTTCGTCTTAGGCGGAGAAGGAAAGAGGTGATGCTGAAAATAAAACACGAGCACCTCTGGAGATTGTGTTAAATACATCAGGAGCAAACTGTCGGTACAACAAATCAAAAACACTCATTAGAAGTAACATTTAATCTTTCTCACAGACCTTGTCTTTTGATAAATTACTTGTAGATATTTGTGCAGAAACTATTGTCACCTGTTGCCATGGCGAGACGCTCGGCTGCTCAGTTTGTCTGCAGGATATTTGGGTCCAAAAACGAAGGCCTGTAAAATATTTAACTTTCGGTCGTTGATTTGGTTTTAATTTCTTCACTCTCAGAAACAAATGACCTGTGAAGCCACGTTTGTGCGTTAATATCTTCACGTCAATCGTTTCATCATGAAATAATATCAACGTCTGGAAAAATATGAAAACATAGGATCTGAACATTGATATTTTATTGGTGATATAAACAAGGTTTGACACATGCAGCATCTCCCTGACACGCTGAAGCGCAGCACACAGGAGTTGGTTTACAGTGAAGACGTATTCTTCACATTTCCTTATGTTGAAACTACATATTTTTAATAAGATGAGATGTATTGCTTCCATGAAATAAAACAGGATTGT